TCACGACGTGCCATCGCCTTGGCATCACGCTCCCGGAAGCGCTGACAGAGCAGGCGACAACGGGCAAGTCGGTCCTCTACCTCGTGCATCTTCGCCTTCATCGAGGCCTCCGCCTGTACCGGCAGCTCTCCCACGATCAACGGTGCCCCGAGGATCGGCGACTGTTCCGGTTCTTGTTCATGTTGGTGTTGTTGGTGCAATGAGATCAAACTGAGGAGGCTGACGGTGGCTGGTTTTCCCGCGGGGCCCAAGTGGTGTCCGCCATGGGGCAGATGGCCCAAGCGCAGCTCCGTCAGCGTCTGAGCAAGGCCGGGGATGCGCACCTCGAGGCAGGCCAGGCGGTCAAGGAAGGCAGCCGCTGCTGCACTGCCCGTCAGAGTCTCCGATTGCTCCAAGTCGAGCTCCAGTTGAGCCAAATGCTTCGCCAACTAAGGCAAAATGTGGACAATAATACACATTTAATTGTAGACTCGGAAGCGCCCAAAGTGCATACAACTTGATCTCCCAACTACGGGATTCAAGGCTTTGTTGTACAAAACTTCAAACCGTATGATGCTAAAAATATTCACATATTTACTATTATTAGTTGAATGCTGTATATTCACAAACCTTTGCAAATTATTATGTATATATATATATATACACAGAAGCATATTAAAATAAATAAAACTTGGCATGGATGTGTTTACTCTCTCTCTCTCTCTCTCTCTCTCTATATATATATATATATTTATATATTTATATTGGGATCTTTACAATAATGGTATCCAGCCTTGAGGATGTGCATAATATGGTGTACAAAAGGTTAGACGTTTGTCGTCCAACGACAGAGGATGTCTTATAGATTACGTCAACCTGAATGTCGTATTAAGGCTAAACGACTGCAGTACAATGGGAATCAGCCATCGTCTTCTGGTGAGAGCGACATTCGAGTCTCTTAATCATGCACTTCCACAACAAATGAAAGTCTCGCCAATAATGAAAGTATTAGGACTGGGCCGTCTGCTATATGTAAATAAAACTATATTAGTTTAAATTGGGTT